CCCACGACATCACAGCTGTCAGCATCACACCGCCAATGATGTCCATCTGCAAACTATCTCGTCTACCTACAATGTCTACAGATATCTACAACTGTTTGTATCATCTGTTGCATTACCATCAATACTGTTGCTACTTGATTGCCTAACTGCAAGGCATGACATATCTTCAGTATTAATACTCTTAATACAAATGTCTTCGATCAAATTTCCCCATGTCTAAATTCAAATAATAAGAAGAAATTAATGGTTATTCCCAATGTGACATGATATGGTATTGAAATATGGAAACTGTGTGCGCGGAGTGTGATTTTACCAGTCATTTGGTGTGTGTGTGTGTCTGAAAATATATTCCCGGATATGACACAATAAAAAAAATGCCTTCAGTGCACATCTTTATAACCTCATCAAGATATTGTAAATAATGCATTTAATAAGGAAACAGACGACCTCCAAATCGATCTAGTTTGTAAATATTTTATTAATAATTTATTTTATTACTGTATATATTTTTTGATCTCATTTTTTTCTAATGTTATATGTGTATGAAGATTTTGAATTGTTGTAGAATACAGTAATAGTGTTAAGATGTACCTATGATGTACAGAATTTTAATATAGAAAATTGTAAAAATATTAACAGGTAATTATTTTTTGCACATAATAAATTGTTTTTCCTTATAAAGTGACCGAAGAATTGTTTCGTAATTTTGTTGTTACGATGTTAGTTGAAAATTCAATTCACTTGATATATTTGTGTTAAAGAAAGTGAAAATGCATTCCGTATATTTTAAAATTGATTTGTATTATAAAGGGGTTGAAAAAATGTTTTTTGTAAATTAATTTTGTATGAACAATTGTAAATATCTTTCTTTTAGGGATGAAATTTGAACAAAAAGCATTGGGACAAAATTTTGCTGTTTTAAAAATGGAGTTGTGTGTCTTGTTATTTATTAGTTTTAATTCCTGTGTCATTATCAAATATTTTTGTAATATAAGTTGATAAACATTTAATATTACTACAGAAATTTTGAAAAAAAAATTATGCAAACATGAAAAGGAGTGGATGTCTAGCAGTAATGGTAAATTTTCTGGTTTTCTTTCTCGGGTAGCTGGGTGCCTTTCACAAGAAATACAAGTTTCTTGCTTCAGTCTCATAAGGGAGAAATATATGTTTGTAAGTTAAAATCAAAATAAAAAATTTTTAACTAAAATTTCAACCAAAAATAAAAAAAAAAACACTCAAGGACTTATGGAAACATATTTACAAAAATGTTTGAGAAAAGAATTGTATGCTGGAATGAATTATCTGAAATGAAACAAGGGAACTCGAAGCTTCTTGTAGAAACCTCCATCGGCAAAATATTCGCTTTTAACACAATGGTTTCCAGGAAGATGGGAAAAGTGGTTTGAAAAATATCTTGTCACCCCAAGGTATAAGAACTCTCACTGTCCTACCTACAAGAATGATTCCCAATTACCTCCATCTCTACAGGCAGAAGCTAGTGTCAGAGCCCACCGTACTTTTACATTTGAACAAAAATATTTTATCACACAAAAATAATTACACTTCGGCTGGACAACCACACTTAATATTCTCTTCTTACAGTAGTGAAATTTAATTTACCCAGGAAGTGAAAGTAGTGTTAAAAATCAGGGTAAGTTTTTTTCATTACTAATATGTCTGTGCATTAGTTACATATTGTGAAAAGTTGTTTGTGCAATTCGCTGCATAAATTGATGACCTTATTACTAGCTTGGTAGGGATACTTTTTCTAGATATAATTCAGGTTGTGTATAAGTATTGTGTAAATTGTTTCATTTGAAAATTCATGAGCGTGAGTCATATTCAGCTCTCATTAAATTTAATTGCTATTTCATAAGCATTAAAAATGTCTCCGAACTTTCCCCATAATTTCACCTTTGTCGCCTATCGATGCAAGATCCACATCTATAAGTCATTCCTTGACTGACCTCACAGCCAGACATATGTGTTTTGAGAGAAGTGGTTCATGCGATTTCATTAATTAATTTTTTTAATTCAAGAATTGTAATATAAATATATAAGTATGTGCATTGTAAACATAATTTTTTATCCACTTTGTCAGGTAATTATCTATTCACATCTAATTCCGAATAGCTATAACCCAATTCGCCTGCCAGACACCGGATGTGCTGCACATCTCTAATCGTGCTTATGAGTCCTCCGCAAATCGTATACTAACATAATTCCTTCAGTAACCTCGCAGCTGGACAGACGTGTTACTCCTACATGTACAGTTTCATTAATTTAAATACAGGATACTGGGTTCCGTAATTCTTCCAGCGTTTAGTAACATACTCGTGTTCGTTAGCCCTTAAATTAATTAATTTAGAAATGTATACCTAACTGAAGGGGAAGATTTAATTCTAAATAAAATATAATTTCGCAGAAAAACTCATAAGTCGTTCATTCTGCGATCTCCAAGCACAATGAACATATATTAAAATCATTTAATTTCTTTCATAGCTGGGCTCCGTCATTCGTTTTTCCTGTGTGGCGTTTAAACACTCCTACATTTCTATAAAAACATTTGGACTGATGCCCCCTCCCAGCCTAGCATTAGAAGCAAGCGAGCCCAGTCAAGCACCATCTTCCCATGTGAACAGGCGTGTTTCTCATTCTTCATGTAATATTTTAATTAGTGACACTTATATTGATAAATAGAACTCATTTGAAATATATTTCGGTAATTTAAGTTTAAAGACTCCTCATTTTAACGTGTAATAGTTTACCGATCAGTTATCATTTGCAATAATAGTAACATAACGAATTAATACTATTTTTCAACGTCTATTAACCCCAAAACCATCTACTAGACATAGAAAACACTCATGCCACTCTTGCATAAAACTCAACTCATATTTACCAAGGCAATTAAGATTACCCTCAATTAAGTGCTAGTCGTCGTGCAGAAACATCGCTCCCCTATATACACCCCTTCTTTAACACAGGACCACCTCAGTACCACACAGTGGCCAGAGCGTCACATCTACCAGAGATGCACCCCATCCAAAAAAAAGAGAAACAAAGAGGTTTAAGTACACCATACTATACACTTATCACAACAATTTTCATTTAATTCAATTGGATAAATGAATCAATTTTTTTCACATTTTATCAGATATAAAAAAAATTGATCGGATTAGTGATTAACGAAATTTTTCATACGAATAAAATCGGAATAAAAAATTGATCGGATGAAGAATTAATCCGATTAATTTGATATCAAAGGGTTAATCCGATTAATAAAAGGCGACAGCCCGTTGTATATGAAATGACAGATCACGGCATGCCCCTACCAATAACATTACTTGGCTTGGCACACGATGAAGCCACAGTGCAAGCATAATCTATTATAAGAGCAACCTGGTGCGGTACCAGCAATTCAGTTCCAGATCAGCGAAAAAAAATCTATTTAAACTATTAACAAAGGTAACTATATCTCCTAGCATCATAGTTTCTCATGGGTAAAAATCTGTAAGTAACGTTTGCAAAAATCCTCCAGTAGTATTAGTATGTTTCAGGTTTGTTTCAAATGTTCATGGCACAAGAAAATGAATTTTATTACCTTTTACCTAATTTAATTTGTTGGAAAAAATTTAAATATGTTGTCAAGTTAAATCCTGTGAGAAAATTTACCCCCAATTACATTAGATTCGTAATAAATGCATGTTTAATCCAGACAAACAACCGTTTATTATTCTAACATTTAGGATGTAACGAAACAATTCATAGGGTATTCACTGTATAGTGGGCAATTTTTAAGGCCCTGCTAAATATAGTTTGAACTAATCAATATATAGGATACTCACAGTAAAATGAGTACTTCTTAAGGTCCTTCTAGGTTTTTTTTCTTTCAGCTAAGTTCTATCTTACTGTCACTTTGTAATATAAACATTGCTGTGTGACTAATAAACACAGTGTATTTATTTCACTTCTCTAAAATTTATCATCTGGGCTTGCAATAAAATATGTTTATCAGTTGTAATGTATTAATGTCTGTTAGTAGGGACTTGTAAAGTGTCTGACTTTACGTGAATAGCCTATACATTATTTTAAATTCGATTCACTATATTTACCGTACCATACAAAAAAATGCATCGAAACTGCAAAAAAAAAAAAGGTCCAGAGCCGGAGCCGACATAATGCTCTTTCATTCTAGTCACCCAACACCACATATTGACTCCCGATGTCCTTGATATTGACATTTGACCTTGACCCTGTGCCTGTGACCTTATGAACCTGAAACTAAAAAAATTCCCAAAAAAATTACTTACAAGTTATAAAACCCAATATATTTATATAAGTAAGAAAAATTAATATTAAAATCTTATTAATAATTATTGTTAAGAAATATACAAGGAGCAGATCCCACGTTCGGCTTCGGAGCTCGGAGCTGTTCATGCTGTCATTCCGGTTCCCCGGCGCCCATATTGTTAACCATGTTAGATGTCGGTGAAATTGACAATTAACCTTGAACCAGAGATCTTAAAGCTAAAAAAAATTTTAAAAATTCCATTGAGTTCCCAAAAAATCCTTTGACATTTGACCGAGGATTCAAGGCTCATGAATCAGACACAAGTCTCAAGACTCAAAACCCAATTCTCAATACTGAAGACTGAAAACCCAAGACTCAAGACTCAGACCAAGGCCGGACAGGAACTTATTTGTGTTAACTAAACCATAGTGCTTTAGCGCATGTCATAATAATGGAATCACCCTCAGTCCTCATCTCTTCCCATTTTTGACAGTCATGTTGAAGCTGCCAATTCTTCCTTTCCTCTGGCAAACCCTATCAGGAATTCTGCGTGTGTTGTGAGGGGTGGGGGGGTGTGCGTGTGTGCGCGCGCGCTTGTGTGTGTTGTGTGTGAGTATGTGTGTGAAAAAAAAATTCGTTTTACTTGATAACTGCATTCTATGAGTCTTACGAACTGCAGGATAATTAAAAATAAATGCTATTACTCCCGGCGTTGAATCGAACCAGTGTTTCCCACGTGACTGGCGGGGATACTAACCAATATACTACCGAGGAAGTGACGATGTCCATATAAATATTGTAATTTTAATATGGTGTGCACAGAGGTATGTGTAAGAATACTGTGTTCAATCATTCCATATATAGTCACTTGAAATTTCATCATGATGTGAAGTATTATAAACAATATTATAGAAAGAATAAATGCACTGGAAGATTTTTTTCTGTGTTTGACAACTGTCTATACCAAACAAGAGTCCTTCGGTATTCTCATTGGCGCCAATGTGTCTCGAGACGAGTCAAGTAAATGATGCCACACATAGCTCCTTCTCTTCATAAGAGCATGTGACGTGCATGTGATGAGGGGAAATTATAGGAGGGACAGCTAAGAGCAACATTACACTGCTTGGCGCACGATGGAGCACGTGCAAGAAGTAGAAACCATAGAATGCAGTTACAAAGTAAGACTTTTTCGCTGAGTAATTATGATTTTTTAACCCTAACCCTCATTTGGAATGTTGATACTTTCCTATGACATTCCATTCTGTAGTATAACAGAAACTATTTTTTTTACATACATAATAAAGGCATTCCTTGACACAGAGATATTTGTTAGAAGCTTGCTCTACATATTAGATAATCAATTGAGCGACATTTCATCACATGTAAACATAGTGACATTGTTTACGTCTTAAAGAACTTATCTTAGTGTGGTACTCGTGAAACCCTGAGTAATTGTTGCAAGCATAAATATTTCAACAACAATTATTAAATTCTTGTACTTGCCCGTAAAAGTAACTAATTTTATATTAACCTTCTATGTGCCATTTTTTTTTTTAATTTGGGGATACAGCCTATAATAATTCCGTTACATGGTATCAGAAGCAACTATACAAAAAAAAAAACCAATCATTTGAAAAACAATAATTTTTATAATTTTTAATTCATAATTTTAATTCAACAGGCAGATACATTTATTTCTGTTTAAGTAATACTTAAAGTTAAAGAATGGCAGTTTTTCATTGTTTTCAAATAAGCTAATTGGTGATCTTTATGTAATGATTGATGTTCTAACTCTTTTAGATAACATTTTTATCTCAAAACTTAAAATTTAAATACCTGCAAAACACATAATAAATTCCCAAAATTTTATTCTTTGCAGTTAATGATACGAAGACTTATTTCGATATTTAGCTAAAAGTATAGTATTTGTTAAGCTTTAAAATGTAAGAAAAACAAACACTGAAAAAATAATATCATGCTTTTATTGGTTTTTGGAAAATCAATTTTAACCTTTCCACACATTTTTCAGTCTATTAATTTTTATCAGAATGAAAACGTATGTGATCTGATATTTTTATTGAGTAAACCCAATATGATGCATAGAAATCATAAAATGCACTTACTATCAATTTTAAAAATGGTTTTTGAATGACTGCGGCGAAATTAGTTAATTTTTGTTGCATGTGTGATAACAAGAACATGTTGCTGTAGGTGGTACCATGCCCAAGCAAGGCGATTGTAATGGTGTAAGGTTGGTCATCCTGAATAAGCTCATACTTATGCCAATGACAACATCGGCTATGCACATCCAGAGACTTCGATGTTCCTGGAGCATCGGAAGAATCGTGGATACAAAAATGGTCGTCAGTCGTATAACACTATACTTGTATAATTTGATGTATATAGCCAAGTTATTACTTCGAGCAAACAGTTTAGGACAGTTATCGCAGATATAGGTGACAATGTGATGGATTCTTCAAACATTATATACTACTTTGTCGCGGATTGTAGTCGAATACATCAACTTCCTCGCAGTATCGTTCCACCAGCAGAATGAAGTTACTATAGAGCTGTATTATGTGTAGTTCGAATTTCTTTACTGATGCATATTTTTTAAAGTTATCGCCGTTCAAATTACTTATACTGCCAACATGTACTTTACGATGTTTGCGAATCTTAACGATAAATCTGAGGAAATTATATACGAGGCAC